TATTCAAGTGTTATAGTGGATTGCAATTCCATCCACGGAGACCAGAGTTTTTCCAATTTTTTTTGGCCATCCCCAATCCTCATATGTTAACTTGTACAAAGGGACTAACTATTATTATTATTATTATTACAAAGCAGGATTTATATAGCACCAACATCACTTTAAAATTTAAAGGGACACAGTACAGTTACAATACAATAAAATACAAGAGGGTTAAGAGGGTCCTGCTCATAACAGCTTACAGTATAATAGGTGTGGCAAGTGCTGTAAAAGGTCCTAACTGTGGGGGATGAGCTGATGGAAGAGTTAAAAGTTGATACTGTAGTTGGATGCGTGATAGGCACCCCTGAAGAGATAAGTTTTCAGGGATCGCCTAAAGGCAGCCAGAGTAGGAGATAGTCTGACAGATTGAGGTAGAGAGTTTCAGAGGATGGGAAAGGCTCTGGAGAAGTCCTGGAAACAAGAATGGATGGAGGAGACTAGAGAGCTAGAGAGCAGGAGGTCTTGGGAGAAGCGGAGAGCATGGTTTGGGTGATATTTGGAGACAAGATTGGTGACGTAGCTCAGAACAGAGTTGTGAATGGCTTTATATGTTGTTGTTAGTATTTTGAATTTATATCCCAGGGCAATCAGAAGCCAATGGAGGGATTGGCAGAAAGGGGTGGCAGACACTGAGTGGATGGTAAGGTAGATGATTCTGGTTGCAGCATTCATGATCAACTGAGGAGGGGATAACCTATGGAGAGGTTGGCTTATGAGAAGGGGTTTGCAATAGTCAAGGCTAGAGATAATAAGGTAGTGAATGAGTAGTCTGGTGGTTTCATTAGTTAAAAAAGGGGGAATTTTAGAGATGTTACGAAGGTGAAGTGTACAAGCTTTTGACAGCGATTGGATTTGGATCCAAAAGAACAGGTCAGGGTCTAGGTTAGACCTAGTCGCCTGGTATGAGGGGAGAGACTGATAGTTGTATTATTGATCTTGATGGAACAGTCATGGAGGAGAGCACAAGCAAGGGGGAATATTACCAGCTTGTTTTTTAGAGAGATTTTGTTTGGGAAGTGGTGCGATATCCATGTTGATATGGCAATGTTAATGAGGTGTTATCGACAATGGGCCCACTCAGGCAGGTCAGGTGGGGGCACGCCTTCTCCATTTTCGGCATTTCAAACCGGCTTCAATCCGGGCCATCTGGGCCATCAGCACAGTATCTTTAGGGCATGCTTGGGTGTTCAAGAGCCCTCCTCATCTCAAATCCACCCCTACGGCCCTTCCACGTTTCGGAGAAAGGAGGGAAATCCTGCTGTCCTATGTGGACTCTCTGCTGGCGCAGGGTGCTGTCGTGCCAGTTCTGGAGGGCGATGAATTTCAGGGCATGTACTCGTCCCTCTTACTGGTCCAGAAAAGAAACAGGGCCTGGAGGCCCAGTCATAGATCTCACCCATCTAAACTCCTTTATCAGGAAGTCAAAATTGAAGATGGAAACGCTGTTCACAATTCAACAAGCAATTCAACCAGGTGACTGACTCCTACCTATAGATCTGAAGGGCGCTTACTTTCATGTGCCCATTGCAAGAGATTTTCAGAGATTCCTCCGGTTTGCTGTAGACCATCGGCATCTCCAGTTCGTGTCTGCCTTTTGGGCTTTCAATGTCGCCTCCTGTGTTTTCAAAAGTCTTGTTGGCGGTCGTGGCCCTGATCAGAACCAGAGGCATTCGCCTGCACCATTACCTAGACGACCTGCTCCTACTATCCAAAAACAGAGAACAGCTACTACAGCACAGGGCCCATGTCACACTTCTTGAGTTCAGGTGGTTGCTGAATATGGAGAAGAGCCATTTAGAGCCCACTCAGTCTCTAATATTCCTTGGGGCTCATCTCGACCCAATCAGCACCACCATGTCCCTGCCCGTGGAGAAGATTCCGATGATCCGGAGCCGAATACTACCTGCCCTGTCCTCCTCGCATCTTCGGGCCCTCCAATGCCTGAAAATCATTGGCACCATGGTGTCCACAGTGCCAATGGTGAAGTGGGCACAGTGGAGATTGTGACCCTTCCAGAAGGGCTTTCTTCAACAATGGAATCCAGGCAAAATGGGCCAGGTCATTTACATATCTCCCTCCATGAAGGAGAACTTTCCTTGGTGGCTGCAGCGGAAGAACCTGCTCAACTGCTATTTGATTGCCCCCATCTCCTGGGTCACAATCACAATGGAAGCCAGCAACTTCGGATGGGGTGCTCTCTGCAGTCTGAGATAGCTCAAAGCAGATGGAGCTTTCCCTCCCACAGGTTGGGGTGCAACGTCCCGGAATTACGAGTGGTGATCTGTGCCCTACGGCCTTCCAGCACCTAACACAGGGGAATTCAGTCCCCCTGAGGTCCAACAATAAACGGCAGTGTCCTACATATGGAGACAAGGTGGGACCCAAAGCCTGTCCCTCTTGCCAGAGGTTGAGCCAATCATGGCTTGGGCTCAGAGAAACCTGTCCAACAAATCGGCAGTATACATCCCCGGAGTCCAGAACTCTCAAGCAGACATCCTATCCAGGGTTTAACTGGACAACAATGAGTGGTTTCTCGACACAGAAGTCTTCAAGTGGATACTGACCCTTGGGATCAGTCCGGAAGTTGACCTGTTTGCCTCCCTGTGCAACAGCAAACTGGAAATGTACTACACCAGGAATCGCTGTCCCCAGTCCTTCAGGGTGGATGCTCTGATGGATCAGTGGAGGTTTCGCACATCTTATGCATTCCCCCCAGTCCCTGTCATCTTCAGGTTTCTGTGGAGGCTCAGAGCAGAAGCAGTGGAGGTAGTGGCCATAATTCCATACTAGCCAAGCAGACTATGGTTTCCCTTACTTGCATAGCTCAGCTTTCGGGATCCGGTTTCTCTCCCTCTTAAGCCAGACCTGCTGTCGCAGGGGGCCATTCTTCACCCTTGCCCAGCCCAGCTTCATCTAATGGTCTGGTTCTTGAGAGGGGGAGGCTGGAGGCCTTAGACTGTCCTGCTGAAGTCATCCTTACCCTGATAAATGCCATAAGACCAAGTACCAACAGGGTCTATGGAAAAGCCTGGTCTATGTTCGTAGACTATATATTGACCGTGGGCGGATCCTTTAGTAATCCGAGGGTTCAGAATGTCCTGGGATTCCTACAGTCAGACCTGGACCTGCCCCTGTCAGTCAGCACCCTCAGGGTTCAAGTGTCAGCCATCTCGGCCTTCACTGGAGTATCTCTGGTTCAGCAATTCGTCAAAAGGACAGTATGGTTGAGGCCCCAGAGGAAACTGAGATTCCCGAAACAGGACCTTCCGCTTGTCCTCGACTTCTTCTCTGGAGGTGCTCCAGAATCAGCTGGTCCTCCCATAGTGAGAGAGCTCTCCATCAAGGCGTAGTGGTTACATCAGCAAAAAGAGTCTTTGAAATTGGGAACATTGGCTGCAAAGAACAGTTTTTGACATTCTTCCCGGATCAAGTGGTTATCATCCCTATGCTAGGTTCTAATCATAAAGTGACCTTGGTCTTCCACGAAAGTCCATTGTCCTGCCAATGTTTAGAGCCTCAGGAGTCAATGACGTTCATCCCCTGGACGTGGGTGAGACCTTAAGGTTATACTTGCAGATCACAGCATCCTTCTGTAGGTCGAACCGTCTATTCATCCTTTTCCATGGGAAGAGTAAAGGAGACCAGACGTCTCCCAGGTCAATCACAGCCTGGATCGTCCAGGCCATCCAAATGGTCTAGAGAGCTAAAGGCTTGATGCCTCCGAAGGCGGTGATCACACACTGAACCAGAAGTGTGGCTACATCCTGGGCAGCTTCCCGGCATGTCGCCCCTGAGATGATCTGCAGAGAGGACTCATGGTCCTTAATCAACACTTTTATGGCCCATTACTGTGTAGAGCCTGCCTCCTTATCCTCTGTTAATATTTTAGTTTGGGGCAAATTAAAGTCTTTGTTTGAGAAACTGAAACTGCCCGCCCGTGTGTATATGGCTAGTTATTTCCCATACATATGCTGCCATGGAGTCTGTCAGGAAAACATAAAATTTCCTATCAAATACTTAACGTAATTTTCCTTTCCCGATGGACTCCATGGCAGCTGGAGTACCCTCCCAATGCCATGAGTAGGCTAGTTATGGAACACGGCCTCTGGCAAGGAGCAAAGATTTATGGAGTCGGGTCCTATAGGAGAGAAGAGGGCAGGACTAACCCATATGTATGCTGCCATGGAGTCCATCAGGAAAGGAAAATTATGGTAAGTATTTGATAGGAAATTTTCCATTTTTTTGACCCTACCTAGACTTGAACATTAGTTGTAAGACTTGGTATATTACACCTATCATATGCACATATTGATGCAAAATATTTAAAAGCTATAAATGTCTTTTACTTTAACCATCTGAGTTCCCAGTGCTGTTTTGTCACCAGGGCCTTTTTAAAACTGTGCCAGGCTCAGCAGCTCAGAGACTCAGAGAGTGATATCATGGCAGTTCCTGTCATTCCTGTTGCAGCTCTGTCCAGCATCTCCCTTCAGCAGCAGATCACTGCAATAGTGGTCTATTGCTGGTTGGTTGCAATCAGTAATAGATCAATACTGAAAGTGATCATTTGCTTCAAAGTTGCATGACCAGATCCAGACCCCACCATGAAGAAACTATAGAGTAAAAATAAATAAATTAATAAATCTATACTATCTATCTATCTATCTATCTATCTATCTACCATTTCCTCCCAAAATGAATCCCCAGGTCTAACCTGGTGCTGTTTTGTATATTTTCAGTTAAAGGTTTACAATGGCTTTTCTTATCTCCTTACACAGGTACTACCTGGTCATGGGATCTGTAGAGCCCTTAGGTCTTCTCTTCCGCTTGTACATCTACTCCATCCATGGGTACGTGTGTGAAGTGCTCTTTACAGCTTTTTGGGACTTTGCTGGCAGCAGAGGGACTGGAGGTTCCGGGGTGTTTCCAGTGTTTGGGCGCTTTTCATTTATGGAGTGGCCATGTTGGGTATAGAGCACATGTACCTATATCTGCGGTTCCATTGCAGCGTCCTTCTCCGTGCCTTTCTCTACACTTTTTGGGTGTACTTTTGTGAGTTCAGTTCTGGATGGATACTGAGATGTTTGAGAGCCTGCCCTTGGGACTATAGTCACTATAGATACAACTTTAAGGGCCTGGTGACATTGGAGTATGCTCCTTTCTGGCTATTAGGAGTTGTCATCTTAGAGAAATATCTGATTTGGTACACACTTCACTTGCGCCTGGATGGAAGCTGAGAAAGAAGCAGAGGCAGAAACCCTGAAGGCTTTAAATAAGTGGATGAAGACCCTTTTTGTGCAATAGTTGGAATTTTATGTTTACTTTGGTTTTATTTGGAATACAAAAACAGTACATCAATTAAAAAAACAATACTTTGCATTTTGCATAATTTGTTAGGAAATCACTAAAATATCCAGTGGAAAAAAATGACAAAGATATTTATCAAAATATTAGCTTACTAGTTCATATTTGGATATTATGCCATTAATTTGGGGCTGTAGATCCTGCCAGTTGATATGTACCCATATCAGATAGCACTTTTTTATATGTTAAAAAAAATCTGAAGAATATATTTAAAAAATCAAAAATATATTTTTTTAAAATATATTCTTCTGATTTTTTTTACCATATGAAAAAAAGTAATTTTAACATATATTTTTTACATATATTTATAAATGCATTCCAAAGATGTAGATTTGTATTTTTAAGAACATACAGTATATTTGAAATGTATTTTGAAAAATATTTTTCATATATTTTGTAATAAAAACGCATTTCAACATGCAGTATATATCTAAATTGAAAAAAAAAAAAAAAAAAAAAAAAAATATATATATATATATATATATATATATATAAAAATATATTGAATATGGCCAAAATTGTATTTCAAATATATGGCAATGTATTTGGGAAAAATATTTAAAATATATCTTTCAAATACATTTTTCTTCCATGTGGGAAAAGGCAAGGCCACACATGAATTGAAATTCATGTCCATGCTGAACTAGCTGAATTTCGATCCGTCTATGGCCAGCTTTAGCTGTTAACATTAAAACCGAAATTTAACTATGGTAATGTAATTTCCAAAATCAGTTTAAACCATTTTGTTTAATCTGCAGCTCTCACTGAAATATTAAATTTTTTATGTATTTATGGCTTTGTAACCTTTATCATGAGGTTTTTTTATTGTATATTTATAATAATAAAATAACAATTTTTTTACTGTAAAATTCTTTCAGATTAGTTCTTATATTTTCCTGGCAGCACATTTAAAGTCTGTGTTTTGGATGTAGCTTTCACTTACTGCTATAGAATTGACAACACTTTTGGGGGTTATTTACTAAAACCGGAGAGTGCAAAGTCTGGTGCATCTCTGCATAGAAACCAATCAGCTTCCAGGTTTTATTGCCAAAGCTGAATTAACAATCTGAAGTTAGAAGCTGATTGGCTACCATGCACAGCTGCACCAGATTGTGAGTGTTCCAGTTTTAGTAAATCTCGCCCCTTTGTGTCTGGCACCTAATTGTGCTTTTGCTTTATCACCCTGACACAAGGGCTTCCAATGGAGACTACAAAAGTCTATTTCAACACGCATTACAGAGATACGGTCAATTATTGTTGTCATTAGGAAACCAACCTTGAAAATGTCATACATTCTTTGTCTGAGTGCATGCAGACATTAAAGCGGAGCGCCAGTCTCTACAGCAATTTTTTATTTTTTTTTAACCTCCCTGGCGGTATTCCTGAGTGTAGCTCGGGGGAAAGTTTCAGCACGACATGCGGTAACCCTGAGCTACACTCGGCAATACCCTGCAGCGTTGCTTCGGGATCTCTTCTTCACTTACCTTGTCCTTACATACAAACACATGTGAAGGGATCAGGAACAGCACTGCAGCAAGGAGCAATCAGACTGAGAGAGGGGAATTGGGGCAGAACTAGCAGCCAATCAAATGAGCTGCAGACATGTGCTGACAATAGCTGACAACGAGGGAGAGCTGACAGAGATAAGTCAGAAAGGGGGAAGAGACCCCCTAGAGCAGTGGTTCTCAACCTTTCTAATGCCGCGACCCCTTAATACAGTTCCTCATGTTGTGGTGACCCCCAACCATAAAATTATTTTCGTTGCTACTTCATAACTGTAATTTTGCAGTGGGAGGACTAGTGCCACATCATTGGTGTCAGTGGAAGGAGTAGTGCCCCATCACTGATGTCAGTGGGATGAATAGTGTCCCATCGTTGGTATCAGTGGGAGGAATAGTGCCCCATCGTTGGTATCAGTGGGAGGAATAGTGCCCCATCGTTGGTATCAGTGGGAAGAATAGTGCCCCATCATTGGTATCAGTGGGGGGAATAGTGCTCCATCGTTGGTGTCAGTGGGAAGAATAGTGCTCCATCGTTGGTGTCAGTGGGGGGAATAGTGCCCCATCATTGGTGTCAGTGGGAGGAATAGTGCCCCATCATTGGTGTCAGTGGGAGGAATAGTGCCCCATCATTGGTGTCAGTGGGAGGAATAGTGCCCCATCATTGGTGTCAGTGGGAGGAATAGTGCCCCATCATTGGTGTCAGTGTGGTGGAGGGGGGAATAGTGCCCCATCATTAAGGTCGGGGGGGGAATTAGTGTCCCATCGTTGGTGTCTTGGTGGTGGGGGGAGGAATAGTGCCCCATTCTTGGAGTCAGTGGGGGAAGGAATAGTGCCCCATCGTTGGTGTCAGTGGGGGGAGGAATAGTGCCCCATCGTTGGTGTCAGTGGGGGGAGGAATAGTGCCCCATCGTTGGTGTATGTGTGGGAGAAATAGTGCCCCATCATTGCTATTAGTGACACCAAAGATGGGGCACTATTCCTCCCACTGACACCAATGATACTTACCTTGCTGACCCCTGCTCCAGCCTGGGCTCGCTCTCTCCCTCTCCCATCTACAGCCAGCATACCTGGCTGCAGCAGCAAAATTTGCACTTACCTGTCAGCTGTCTTCCTTCACTGGCCGCTCTCCTCTTCACTCGCTCCGGCAGCTCCCTCGATCTTCTTCGATCTACGCGCGCTGCCGCTCGGCTCCTCCTCTCCAAGCTCCACCTCCTCGCCGGTGATTGGCCGCCTGTGTGCCTCTCCTGAGCTACAGTTCCGGTGGCCAATCAGCGGCGAGGAGGCGGAGCTGTTGAGTGATCCCGGAGGTGTGGCCAGGTGACAGGGGCAGCATGTCATCCCGCCCACACATCGCCTAAGACCATCGGAAATATGTGTTTTCCGATGGTCTTAGGCGACCCCTGTGAAATGGTCGTTCGACCCCCAAAGGGGTCGCAACCCACAGGTTGAGAACCGCTGCCCTAGAGGAAAGAGGGATTACTCTATCCATCCATCCAACTCCAGGAAAGCAGGCCTCTGGGAAACAGTCAGACCCCCTGCTGGAAAAGGCAAACACTCGACTCATCTATCCATCCATCTGGGACAGGGATATATATGTCCACTCATCTCTAAGTCCATTTAACCCCTCGCCTACAGGGCACTTATACCCCTTCCTGCCAAGGCCAATTTCCAGCTTTCAGTGCTCTCACACTTTCAATGACAATTGCGCGGTCATGCAACACTGTACCCATGTGAAATTTTGTATAATTTTTTTGTGACAGATAGAGCTTTATTTTGGTGGTATTTAATCACCTCTGGGTTTTTTATTTTTTCTTAAACAAACCAAAAACCACTGAAAATTTTGAAAAAAAAAGTTTTTTTCTTAGTTTTTGTTATAATATTTTGTAAATAAGTGATTTTTCTCCTTCACTGATGTGCGCTAATGAGGCTGCAGTGATGGGCACTGATAGGCTGCACTGATGGACACTGATGAGGAGGCACTGGTAGTTGGCACTGATGGGCATTAACAGGCATCACTGATGGGCACTGAAAGGCAGCACTCATATATGGCACTGATGGGCGGCATTGATATGCGGCACTGACTGGCACTGAGAGGTGGTACTGATTTGCAGCACTGATAGGTGGCACTGACTGGCATTGATGGGTGACACTGAAAGCAGCTCAGATGGGCACTGATATGTGGCATTGATGGCAAGTGGCACTGATGAGCACTGACAGCTGGCACTCATGGACACTGACAAGTGGCACTGCTGGGGCTACACTGATCATCAGTGCCCTGATGATCAGTGTACATGTCCCCTCTGAGGGATGCAGATTACCGGCTCTCCTCTCCTCTGTCAGCGTGACAGCTCATGAGGAGAGAAATGCCAATAACCGTCATTTCCCTATTTACATGCGATCAGCTGTGATTGGGCACAGCTGATCACATGACCGAGCTGACATCTTCGGCTCTTTCCGTTGATCAGTGATCCTCTGTGTACAAGTGACACAGCGCACCACCGATCGCCGTGCTGCATGCTCCCGGAGCCGCGCATGTGCGGTTAGAATGGGACGATGTCATATGACATCCTCCCAAAATGAGAGAACTGCCTTGCGCCCGTCATTACACTATATGGCGGGCGGGAGGCGGTTAAAGGGACACAAGCTTGTAGGACCTCACTTAACGGTTTGGTCATATACATCAGGTTAGCGCACAATGGTGAAGGAGCACACAAGTTAAAGTTTTTGTGGACTTTTTCAAATATCATTTTTTATATGTTTTTTAAAAAACTTTTGTATATTATTTATTTTTCACTAGTGAATAACACAAGTCACGGATTGTTTTTGTAAATAAGCACGCAGGATTACAATTTAAAGCCAGACTAATTTTTGTTACTAAAATCATTTTGGATTATACATGCTAATCCTATGTTTATATTTCAGTGCAATTATCATATTTAATATTAGTGGAGCGCGACATGATTTGCATATATTTCTGATTATAGTGACACACAAGTTGTAGGCGACCCACATATGTTTTTTATGTTTTTATGTATTTATATACTCATTTACATTTAAAAAATTATATTTCACTCACCAAATAAGATATTTATGCACATATACCATAGTAGCTCACAAGAATGACGGTTTTAAACTCAAACGCGGGAAAACGCAGCTAAACGCGTCAAAAGGCCACTAAACGCTAATAAAAAAAAAGCTGAAAAACTCACGTTTTTAACTTTACACAGCTAACGTTACCAGCGTTATCAAAACATCCCGTGTGCATGAGGGCTGAGTCGATTTGCTTGGACTCCTAGGAAGATGACGCCGATATCCCAGGTGTTCCAAGGGAATCGCCTTACGACAACATCGCTTGGGTAGCCAGACTGGAAGAGCTGTATACACAGATAAAAATATTCAGACATAAAAAAAAATATATATATATTATCCATTTAGGAATACACTGCAGGTGGGCATGTGGATGAAAGCAACTTGTAAAAATGGGTGGGACTCCGCTTTAAGTGGCTGCAAATAGGCTGCATGAGATACGCACCGAGATGCAATTTATTAATAAAAATGTGAAAGCAAGTATTTTATTTAAAAAGTCAATCATTTATGATACATTATATTCTTAATTGCTGTGCCCTGATTTAAAATGTCAAATTCAACGGGGGTCTTCTTTAGTGGTAAAGAGGAGTTGCAGATATAGGGACCTCCAGCATGGAAGCAGTCTGTTTACATCATCTCTTCCTGCAGCAGCTGCTCTTCACCATCACTAGGGGGAGCTAAAGAGAAGACAAAGGAGGAATTTTGGATTGAAAATAATCTCATCAGTCTTGTTTGTGATTCCTTGGGCACTAGCTCTGTACATGTCACATCCTCAAATACAAAATGCAGATGGTTCCCATCTCTTTTTGCTGGAAGGTGGTGGAGGGGATTGGAGGGGGTCCCCAATTTTGCTGCTGAAACCTTTTTGGAACTAGTCTCACATTCACCACTCATTCAATATGACATACTGTGTTTACATGAAATCTTTCATATTACCTTTTAAAAAAGAACTTAATAAACAAAATATATTTTTGTTCTGAACATAACAAAGAAAAAGCATGCACATACATTCATTACATACGTACATACATCCCCTGTAAACAGGAAATATGTTTCGGCATGTGCGGGAGGTAGAGGAAGGATTGGAGGGTAATCAGCAGATTAGATCTAGATCCTCTTCATGAATTTTAATCATTCTGGGAAGGTAAACAACTTATTTAGAAGAGCAGCCTGTACTCTTCCAATGTGTCACTACAGTCAGATAAAGCCCAGCCCTTCTCAAATCTCAACAGCCCCAGGACATAATATGGCCTAGATTAGTACTCTGACTCATTCCCTTGGTATATATAAGTCATCCAGGTGATAGTCATTAGAGGCAGACAATAAAGAAACATCTGAATAGGCGGCAGAGGCGTAACCAGAGGTCCTGGAGCCCCATAGCAGAATTTTAATGAGGCCCCCTGGGACTTCTTTACTCTCATGGATCTTAAAGTGGAAATTCACTGAAAATATGAGGTTCTGCTCATCCTCCTCTTTGAACCCTCCTCTCTCATTATTGGGAACTTTTTTTATTATTTCTGACAAGTACCTGCTCCCACTTTGCTTGCCTAGGTGAGCAGATCAGAAGTTTGCCCACTTCTTCCATCGCATGTCCCAGGAGACTGAGAGACCATTCAGAAAGCCTAGCACGTCTCGTGCATGCGCTGTGGAGAGCCAGATGTCAAACACCAGGAAGCCATAGCCTGTCTTCCACATTCAAGATGGCGGCGCCAGGGACCTGAACACAAGTGAAGAATTGGACTGGGTGAGGACAGCGCTGGATCCCTGGGTTGGTAAGTGTCTTTTTATTAAAAGTCAGTTACAGTCTTTGTACCTGTTGACCTTTTATTTTTTCCTGCAAAGGCTGAAGTTCCTCTTTAACATGAAGTACACTATATTGCCAAAAGTATTTGGACGCCTGCCTTTACATGTACATGAACTTTATTTGCATCCCAGTCTTAGTCCGTAGGGTTCAATATTGAGTTGGCCCACCCTTTGCAGATATAACAGCTTCAACTCTTCTGGGAAGGCTGTCCACAAGGTTTAGGAGTGTGTCTATGGGAATGTTTGACTATTCTTCCAGAAGTGCATTTGTGAGGTCAGGCACTGATGGTGGATGAGAAGGCCTGGCTCGCAGTCTCCGCTCTGATTCATCCCAAAGGTGTTCTATTGGGTTGAGGTCAGGACTCTGCAGGCCAGTCAAGTTCCTCCACCCCAAACTCGCTCATCCATGTCTTTATGGACCTTGCTTTGTGCACTGGTGCGCAGTCATGTTGGAACAGGACAGGGCCATCCCCAAACTGTTCCCACAAAGTTGGGGGCATGAAATTGTCCAAAATGTCTTGGTATGCTGATGCCTTAAGAGTTCCGTTCTCTGGAACTAAGGGACCAAGTCCAACCCCTGAAAAACAACCCCACACCATAATCCCCCCTCCACCAAACTTTACACTTTGCACAATGCAGGCAAGTACCGTTGTCCTGGCAACCGCTAAACTCAGAAACATCCATCGGATTGCCAGAGAAGCGTCATTCGTCACTCCAGAGAACATGTCTCCACTGCTCTAGAGTCCAGTGGCGGCGTGCTTTACACCACTGCATCTGACACTTTGTATTGCACTTGGTGATGTAAGGCTTGGATGCAGCTGCTCGGCCATGGAAACCCATTCCATGAAGCTCTCTATGCACTGTTGTTGTGCTAATCTGAAGGCCACACCATGTTTGGAGATCTTTAGCTATTGACTCTGCAGACAGTTGGCAACTTCTGCGCACTGTGCGCTTCAGCATGCGCTGACCCCGCTCTGTCATTTTACGTGGCTTACCACTTTGTGGCTGAGTTGCTGTTGTTCCCAGTTGCTTCCACTTTGTTATAATACCACTAACCGTTGACCGTGGAATATTTAATAACAAGGAAATTTCACGGATGGACTTATTGCACAGGTGACAACCTATCACTGTACCACACTTGAGTTCACTGAGCCCCTGAGAGCGACCCATTCTTTCACAAATGTTTGTAGAAGCAGTCTGCATGCCTAGGTGTTTGATTTTATACACCTGTGGCCATGGAGGTGATTGGAACACCTGAATCCAATGATTTGGAGGGCTGGCCCAATACTTTTGGCAATATAGTGTATGAATGAATCAAGGACAGGCAGAAGGAAATTTGTTTGCATAGACACTGTCAATCAAAATCTGTGACAAGGGAGCAGGGGGTGGGGCAGAGCCACCCTGTCTGTGTCAATAGACACAGACAAAGCTCCTCATGAACAAGCATGCACAAGTGGGGGAGGGGTGGGGGGCAATTGCAGAAGAGGAGGATCAGGACTGCTCTGTGCAAAACCACACAGAGCAGGCAAGTATAATATGTTTATTATTTTATTTAAAAAAACAAACTTTTAATATCACTTTAACTTTTAACATTGTTTTTCCAAGTAACAGCTCTGTCCTTTCCAGTCTTTTCCAACATATCAAATCTATGGACCTCAGTGTAAATTTGAAGCCTTCACTCCCCTTCCACCGCCACAGCAAGTGCTGAAAAAAAAAATTAGTAGAAATAATAATGGCCACAGCAATATTTTATATTAGACAAAATTGTTAGTTGTCCCGCACACAATTACTCTATAACACTAATACAAAATACCTAAAGTGGCTGTAAACCTCAAGCATGAAATCTGGACAAAGCACATATTTGTATAGTGTTTACTTGCCTCTCTCCAAAGCACTAAGTGTCATTTCTCTCTGCTGTCTCATTCCTCTGTTATCAACACGAGTCACTTCTGACAAGTTTTCCTAACACCAAGAGTATAAAAGGTGAGGGGGGACTCCAGCACACAGCTTGTGATTGACAGCCTCAGCTCTGTTCCTGGGTGCTGTGTGAAGAGGGGGTGTCCCTACCCTCCAATCAGCTCTCAGAGTTCTTGTATAGTGTTTAACTGCAGTTCCCCACCCCCTGCTTTATGAGTCTGTGAAAAATTATTTTCATTATTTTCAGGACAAATGGCTGCAAATAAAACAGGTACAACTTATGTCAGAGGATTTGTTTCATCTCTGTGTATTACATAAGCTCAGTCACTTCACTGGGTACAAGTAAGGGTTTACAACCCCTTTAAACTCAGTTTTTTTTCCAGAACTACAAACAGTTGTCAGTTTTTATTTAAAGAGACCCCCTGGGATTTTTATAGCATGAAGAAGACTGCGTTATGCATGCAGGTTTCATTTCAGTGCTGGCCGGGATGACAAGAAGCTTTGAGGGCAATATATCTACACCACTAAAGCTGGTCATACATGAATCAAAATTAAGCCAGTTCAGCAGGGATCATGTATGGCCACTGTGGTTCTGCCATTCGCCTTTTGTTCAACTGCCCTGTTGGAAGATTTCC